TGTTCCCATGTTCTGTTCGAACTAACCCACAAAAAACATTTTTATACTAGTTTAACCATAATTATAGCTGACATTATGGTTAAACTAGTAAAACATTATTATACTATGGTTAAACTAGTAAAACATTATTATACTAGTTTAACCATAATTATAGCTGACATCACCTGAAGTATCCTAAACAGGTTGTTGTTGGTAAGTGCTGTTGAGTCTGGTCCAAGGAATGGCTGGTGGGTTTGAAAGCCAACCCTACAGTTAAGGAAGTCCAGTGCTTCTCTTACATTCCCACACCAGGACTCCATCATCTTCTACATGAAAACACAAGGTGAGTCTGAACCACCAACTTTTTGGTAAGTAATTAAGTGCTTAAATGTTATGCCACCATGCTCTTTTGAATTATTTTAAGATGTTCCATTAACATCATTTTAGCATTCATAATGAAGTTTTCAATACATTATCATATTAAATATTCAAAATAAACCAGGGCATGGATGATACTGTCCACCTGTTAATAAACTGGAGTTCAATCTTATTGAGGCAACTAAAGAAAAATTTTACAACCAGCTCTCTAAGTCTTTTAGAGAAACTACAACAGCTTCCTGGACATCCAAACAGTATAGTCAAATCCTAACTTGTCTTAAACTTGAATCCTCTTCACTGTGTACAAAAATTTACTGAAGTCCAAATTTTTAAAGAAAACACACTTTACCCTCTTGCTTTTTCTTTTACAGTCATTTTCAGGGAAATAAAAGGAAAGGAATGGTTTCAATTATAAAGTGGAGCACCTAAATCTTAGACACACTATAAAGGGTAGGTATAAGTTGGAACCAACTTGACAGCACTTTAAAACAGCAGCAACCCAATCTAAGTACTTGAAGAATTACCCATTTACTATTCATAAATACATTTTTTTCCACTTGTCTTAATAGATATTGATGATTCCCAATTAAAAATACTTTTTTAACAAGGGGTGTCATTAACATCGAATAAAGCAAAATCTGCTGAGAGGTCTAATCTGAAAAAAAAAAAAAAAAAAGGATTTTATCTACAGTATCTTAATATAAACAAGGAACTCTGCACTTAGTTACGTATGCGTTCTTGAGGATGTTGTTTTATTTTGTTTTATATTTTAAAAGAGTTAAAGAAGAATTATTGACATAGATATGGACATTTAAAGATTCTTGATATTACAGAAAATATTTATAATTCTGAAGCTCTAAAAAACAAAATATTTGTTTTCAATATTAGTAACTTCATAAATAGAAAGAAATCAATATTAGGAAGTAAAACTTTCCAATCAGTAACAGTCTACCAAGACATGGACTGTATCCATCCACTTTGGAATTAATATTATAATCATTTTACTAATATGGATGTGAAATACTTACCTTTGAGTCATAATTTTAAAGGCATCTGGGAGGTAGCAGTCTGTATTCTCCATCTGAAATGGGTCAGCATCACAGATCTTGTCATCTGTCCGACCATAATTTGCACTCTCAATCATAATGACATCACTGCCAGGACATCGCAGATCTATAGAATAACCTTCGCAGGATAATTCTCGCCTAACTAACCCAAATGGTAAAGCAGCTCTGCTGAAACCTTTACAAAAAAAAAAAAAAGGAAAAACAAACATTCATTTATGAAGTAAGTTATTTTAAAAATGAATTTTCAAATACATAAATATTCAACTGAAGGGCTGTCATAAAGTATTTTTTTAATTATTCAAACATCTTAAATTTACTTTTAACAAAATATTTTCCAAGTAACCTATTACAATCAGAAATTAAGTAGTCCTTCTTGAGAAACTCCAAAGAAAAATGACATATGTAAGCTAAGGATTCATAAATACTGACAAGTTTTACAAAGCTACCAAGTGATAACTAATCACGGGACAATTTTCATTTGTGCAAAATGGAGTAAAACTTTTGCAATACTAGTACATGGACCTTACTTTTTCATTTACTTGTATACGTTAACTATTGTCACCAGCATTATCTTAAAAACGTTTTCGCCATAGCAGTTTATTCCAAAAATAATAGCAAGATACTTATGGCAGGATAACATATTCCAATTTATATGTACTTTACTTCTGGGTGGCACAAATGGTTAAGCACTCAAGTAACAGCCAAAATGATACTGGTTCAAACTCACCCAAAGTTCTCTCAAAAGAAAGACTTGATGAACAAGCTTTTAAAAGGGCATACCCTTGGAAACCCTATGTTGTTATTGTTAAGTGCCATCAAGTCCATTCCAACTCAAAGTAACACTATATAATGTTTCTGAGGAGCAACTGGTAAGCTTCTCAATATAGCACATTAACCCACAGTGCCTAGGTAGCAGTTCTATACTGCAACACGTGAGGATCACCATGATTCAAAATCAACTGAATAGTAACTATTGTTTTCACTTCTTTCCTTTTTTGGGGGGATCAGTAGTAGGTGGATAGAATTAGAGATTTATTTAAATCCAACATCACAGTGGGCATTCAACGGGGCAAGCACTACTACAATCCAACTAACTGAATGACCCAAAGTGGGCAAAAATTCTCTAAAATTCAGTTTTGTCATCTGTTAAACAGAAATGGAACATACGTAACATTTTTTTTTATCAATTTGACTCTAAAATGATGTATATAAAAGCATCTAATAAATGTGCTGTTATTGTTATGTGGTGTAGATTCTCACTTGTGTTGTTGCTATTAGGTGCAATTGAGTCAGTTTTGACACATGCCAGAACTGCCCCATGGATTTCCTAGGCTGTGATCTTTATAGGACCCAAGCCTTTTCTCCTGTGAAGTCGCTGCTTGATTTGAAGCACCAACTTTTCAGCAAGCAGCTGAGCATTTAACCACTATACCACACCAAGCCCTATTTAATAAAACTCACTCCATATATTTAGTTATGTCTGATGTATCAGAGTATAGACCAACATCATTTATGGGTATTTTTAAAAAGACAGTAAACAGAAAATGAGACTTTTAAACTTCAACCACAGTTTTCCCAGGAATTCCATAAAATAATAACAAAACATAGGACAAATGATAGAAGCAGGGAAATCTCAAAAACCACTTAGAACAACTATGTGTGAGAAGTACACTCATGAAGTACTGTTATGCTATCTATGAATAAGCTATTGCATCAAAAACTCCTGTGCCATCCAAATTTTTTATTTAGTTCTCTAACCTCTATCTATGGACTCCTGGTGTGGCACTGTAGGATCAGCACTGGACTGAGGACCACAAGGCTAGCAGTTCAAACCCACCAGTTACTCCTCAGAAACCCTATACAAGGTCGCTAAGAGTCAGAACCGCCTCAATACAATAGCATTTAACGCCACGTCTATCTATAAAGAGTCCTAGTGACATACTGAGTTAATTGTTGGATTTCTAACTGCAAGGTCAGAAGTGTGAATTTGCCAGGTACTCTACAGAAGAAAGATGTGGCTTTCTAATCCTGGAAGTTGCTATGAATCAGTCAACCTGACAGAACACAACAGCAACTTCTAGCTATACCATGCTTACTTATCTGACCCTGCTTATCTCTAGTCTTTTAATTACTCTGCATTGTACAGATTATCTCGTATATCCCCTTTTACAGTGGAAGCCAACATTCTGAAGTATTTTACTCTGAGTTGTAAACCTCCAAGTTAAAGAGCTGGGTCACTGTGTCCAGGTCAATCCAATGCACAGATCTGTTCTCTTTATCTTTACTGCACAATGCACTCACTAATTCAATGAGATAGAAAGTCACCTGGATAAATCTGCATCTTCTTTCTAAGGTGCAAATACTACTTCAAGAAGGTTATTGGGCCACACATTGCTATGATTTAGAAAATCAGCATTTCTCTAACTTAGTTGAAATTTCAGTACTATTGAGAAAACTGATACTAGAATGACGAGAAAATAAGAAAACAGAAATTTTGGAATATGAAAATCTTCAAAGGATTACCCCAACCTTGGCAGGTTTTCACTAGAATGGTTTGCGGAATTATGAGAGTACTAGAAATATATATATGGAAATACTGGTGTGGCAATGTAGGACAAGTACTGGATTGCTAGCTGCAAGGTCAGTGGTTCAAATCTACCAGCCACTTCACAGAACTCCTATACAGGGTTGCTATGAGTCAGAACCTATTCAACAGCACTTAGCAACAACAACAAAGTATCAGAAGCGAGATACTCTTTCAATGGATAATGAATACACACAAGAAGGTGGGAAAATGTCAAGACAGGCCAATTCTTCAAAATAAAATTTTCATCAAAAAGTTCACAAATAAGGACTTACTATGTTATCTTCCTTATACCCCAATTGAAATGATCCAGCTTAAACCAACATGGTATTTTTGTTTTAACTTCTTAAGGCTTCAGAAGCTAGTTACTTAAACTATTTCTGTGGTGATGGCTGAATTGAAATTCAACCAAACAACCAGAAAATTTGTTTTCTCATGAGGAACACTACCTATTTTAAAGTCAGAGATTACTTACAATTATAATTCTCTTGTGCAATACAGTAAATCACATTAATACTGATACTAAGACTAACACAATTAAGACTATTAGTACATATTTTTAGGAACCAGGCTTGGAACCATAATTTATCATTTTTTACATGTTGTAAAAAATATTATGCTCTCGGCCCTTGCTTCAAAGATGACAAACAAAAGGAGAAACAAAGGTCATGGGGAAAAAAGGGGTGTGGCCATGAGCAACCCATTCACTGCAGGAACTGCACCAGCTGTGTGCCCAAAGACAAGGCCATTAAGAAGTTTGTAATTGGAAATGCTGTAGAGGCCACAGCCCATCAGGGATATTTCCCAAACAAGTGTCATCAACACAAATGTGTTTCCCAAGCTATATGTGAATTACATTATTGTGTGACCTATAACATTCACAGTAAGGTAGTCAGGAACCATTCTCGTGAAGCACAAAGGATATAACAATCCCACCCTGATTTAGACCTGAAGGGGCTGCCCTGGGACCACCACCCAAGCCAATGTAAAGATTTGGGTCCTTAAAGGCTGAAAAAAAAACTCACTAGCAAGAAAATAAAATGAAAATTATACTTTAAAAATTGAATAAATTATGAGGCACTGTGTAGTTACATTCATTGTTTGTTTGCAACTTTATGATTCTATTTAAATTATCCTCTGCTTCAGAAAATTAAGTTACAGTTAAGTGTTTGTTGTTTTGAATTTTCACAAGAGTATTTCTTTGTCTTAATCATCCAGAAAAAAAGAAAGAAAACGAAATGGAAAAGTAGAGCTAGACAAGAAACATTCCCACCCCCTCCACACACAGAGTGGATGGAGATGGGCAACTTGGTCATTGGATACTCAAATGGGGAGGGGTGGGGCTACAAAGGCAAGAAGTGACTGGCTTACAAGCTTTCAAGAGGGAACCTAGTGCTAGGGAGCATGGAGGAAGGCAGAATCTCCAGTGGGTACTATTCAATCTGTCTGGGCAAAGCTGATGAAAGGAAATACAGATGGGTAACTCGTGATACTGTAGTGAATAATGCTTATCAGGACAGATTATAAGGGTTGGAAATGCAAAGGTACACGTTTTGTAACAAGGAAGGGAGTGATTAATTCTCCAGTCTAGGAGCGGAGGTCTCTGAGACCATCAATGGTGAAGAACCGAAAGTGGGACCCTACCCAGAGAAACAAAGATGCCTGAGATGGAGACAGAGAAGAAAACGTGGAGTGATGAAGCAGCTGGGGACTTTGGATCCAGAGAGGAAAAGGGACTGTGGGCCAAAAACTGGGGAGGGGGGAGTGGAGGGGTATAGGGGGCGGGTATCTAGGATATACCCTTTGGTTGGTTGGTGGATAATGCATGAAGTGGATTGGAACCATGGCAATGAGATGATATACGATGGAATGAATGTAAAACTAAAGTTCTCTCGTGTAAACTATCATATAATTCACAATAAAACATTAAAAAAAAAGTAGAGCTAGAAATAACATTTTAATAGTACAGTAGACTTCCAACACAGAACGTTTGAGAAAAAAGATCATGATACTTATGCTTTCATTGAACAGAAGTCACAGAGCTCTTAATAGTAACTACTGTTTTACTGAATACTTACAATTTTGTTTTCAATCATTTGTTCTGTTTTCTAAACTGTTGCTCCCTCAACTATAGTTCTATTAAAGTTTATACATGTATTTTCCATGGCACTTATTATAAGAGGTCTTTATAAAATTCATAGAATACTAGGCATGATAAACCTACGTCTGAATTTAAAAAAAAAAAAAAGAACTTGCTCAAAAATAAACTCATGTCAATTTGTTATGTAACATGTCTGAACAGGAACTAGTTTGAGGTACTATGTAAGGTAAAACATTAGTCTGAAAACAGTCCCTGTCAGAACAAGATGAATTTGTCAGAACAAGATGAATTCTGCTAAAACTGAAGCAAGATCAAACATCAAATTTGCGCTGAAAATTGGGTAGAAGAATAGTGATATTATTGTTGCTTTACAAAAAGTTTGTGTGCAATGCCCCAAAGAAATCAGCAGTTTACAAATGGATAACTGGTGTGAAGATGGGTAGAAACAATGCTGAAGATGAAAACCATCAACATCAATTTGTGAGGAAAC